CGGGCGGGCGGGCCCAGGCCGGGCCACGGGGACAGAGCGCCGGCCGCGGCCAGGACACGCCGCTCCCCGGCCCCACGCTCCGTCCCGAGAGCGACACCCGCCGAGGCTGCGGGGGGAACTTCACACAATTCACCACGAGATACACAAACCCCCGGGCGGCGGCGCGGGGGCAACACACCGGGGGTCGCTCTGCGGGCAGGCCGGGGCAGGGCCCCCCCCAACCACCGCCGCGACAGCACCGGGAAAAGGAGAAAGAAAACACGACACCCTTCACAGCAGGAAACCAAACGGACGAGCACCTCAGGAACAAGAACTGTCACACTCCAGAACGCTATATACGAGAGAGGGGTCAGCGTGACGGCTCGGGCGCAGGGAGCCGGCTGGCAGGGGACGGGTCCCCGGGGCAGGGCGGGAGACTCCTCAACACCGCAGAAATACATCACTTGGGGTCCAACACTTCACCGAGAACAAAACCAAAACCAGCACCAGTAGCAGGGGGAGCAGCACTCACAAGGGGCCCTTGCTGTCGACACCCAGCTCGTTTATCACACAGGCACAGCTTCGCCCCTGCTCCCCCCTACACCACGTGCCATCGTCGAACAGGCTCGGCCACTCGCGCGGGCTGGGGCCGCAAACCGGCAAACACCACAGGGGAGGAGAAACCACGGTGTTAGCGTCGGGTGGAGCCGGTGCTGCCACCTGCTCTGTCCTCCTGACTCACCGCCTCGCTCCAAAGCAGCAACCGGCAACGGCACGGCCGCCACCCGCAGGCCCGGACAGACACGGACATTCCTTGCTGCAGAGCAGAGCTGAGGCAAGTTCACCGTGGCTGCAGGATCGCCCATCATCACTGCTCTGTTGATGGGACCCTCCTCATGCCACAGCCGCCAGCCCCTGGAGCTCAGTTCCTAACCAGCCCCACGCACAGAACTTCGGCTGCTCACCCCGCCGAGGTCAGGCCTCCAGCTGGGCTCAGAACGGTGCCTGAGCCAGGTTCCATCTCAGGCTGGCTCCAAGGGACGGGGTTGGCACTGACACCTCAGGCCAAGAGGTGTTTTGGAACATCTCACCTCTTCCAGGCACCACGTCACTGCCGGAAGACAGAGGTCAGAGCCCAGAGCTCTGTGCCGAGCACTGCTCAGTGCATGGCCCGTCGGGCAAAGGGCTGGGACGCTGCAGGTGGGACACTTCAGCTCAGAGAAATCCCAAGGCTGGGCGGGGAAGCATGGAGGCAATGTTCTAACCCACTCCTCATTCAAGTTCACTGGGAAAAGCATCCCAAACAGCTTCTCTCAACTCCCAATCGGTCAGAGCAAAGCTGATCTGCTCCAGCAGAAAATCCCCACCAGCGATCTGCTTCTCTCCTGCCACATTCCGACTCTTGTCAGATTTACCCGCTCCTCAGCCCCGAGGACAGCAGTATCAGTTGAGCTACATGAGAAAGACACCCCCAGCACCCAGCCAGCACGGTGAACCACGCCTCCCCGCAAGGCTGCGGTTTCACCTGGGCCACCCTGGTCTGTCCTCTCCACTCAGGAGACTTTCTGCAGCCAGGAGATCCCATGGCCTTCACCCCGTCCTGCTTCTCTACAACAACTCAGTATTCAGCTCAAATCTTTGGGGAAGGGAGAGGGGGATCAAAGTGTTTGTGGAAACGGAGCGTGGCCACAAATAGCTTCTCAGCTGTGCCACACAGCTGTAAGTCTAAGCACTCTTCCAACACCCACAGACAGAAGCTGCACCAGGAAAGACAGCAACCATGCCACAGCTTAATTTCCAGCAACGTGCAGACACTCAGGGCTGGCGCTGGCCCCACGCTGCCGGCAGACTCGCCCCTCCTGTCAGAGGGGCTGCAGGAGCAACACAAGTTGTGACCACAGGATCCAATTCCAGAGTTAAATCCCATCAGTCTCCTCCTAAACTCGGACAATTCTCCCTTGGGTTACTCCTCTACCAGCCTTGGGGGAGGAGGGGAAGCGCAGCGAGTCCCCCGTGTCCACGGCTTGGTGGGAGCCCCGAGCCGGCCCCGGCGGGACGCGTCCTCCGGGCAGGCACCACCGCTGCCCCGCACCAGCCATCCACCTCTGCCTCCAGCAGCAGCGGCGCCTTTGCCCGCGTGCCAGTGTCCTTCTGGAGAATCTGGAGAGATTCCAACTCAATCTCTCGGTCGAGCTTAGGGAAAATGACGGCAGCGTGAAACGAAAGCAGACGGCAAAGGCAGCCACGGGCACCACCACAGCACAGCGCCACGCGAGAGCTCCGCCAGCACAGAGAGCGCGACACGAGGGGACACAACGGAAGCCAGCGAGGTCGAGAATAAGTCACTTTTGGTACAATTGCAAAAAGATATCAAACAGGACTTGCCTCTTTTTTTGTCTTTTTTTCTAAGTTTTATAAATAAAGTCTGATAACTCTTTATAAAAACTAACCTCAGAGCCACAAACACTTTGCGGGAGGTTCATGAGAAACTTTAAAATTATTTATTTATTAACTTTTAACTAGCAAAGTCTCCGAGAATATTTCGCCATTCATATGGTCAAATATTCTCGCCCTCTCAGATAAAAAAGCTGACTATAAATACGCTCTCTCTTCTGTCTGATTTTAATTTTAAACTTAGATAATTTAATAACTCTTAAAATGATGTTTCTCTCTTTAAATAAAGGGCTATTTAACCACATAAACTGGTTGTGTAAACCATCACACTAGAGACACTTGATACCCTCAAAACACGGGAACAACTAGTGATTTTGGTCTTGTTCAGTGCAACACATTAGGCACAAAACCGGCCTGCAGTCGAGACGGTACCTTCCCCCCTCCCTCCCGCCCTTCCCCGGGGCGCAGGGCCCTGTCCCGGCGTCCTCCCCGTGGCGGGGCAGGGGCAGCATCGTCCCTCCCACCACGGCTAGTTCACACGGCTCACGCGACGGACGTCTGAAGGGAACCCACTGCTCGGGCACAGAGGCACAGCTAGAGAGGAATAAAAACCTACCACACAGAACACCCCAACTGCAACTACGGGCACCAAAGGAGACAAAAGCAGCAGGTTCAGGCACCTGGGAGTCAGGTGCCGAGATGCACCGCCTGGAAGAGTAATGAAATAAAGCCTTTGGAAGTGACTGAGATTTAGGGTTCCTGGCCCCCAGGAGGAAAGCCTCCCTCCAGACCGTCCCCAAGCCCTTCCGTCGCCCTGCCATCGGCCGCGCTGCACAGACTCTCTCTGGCTGGAAAGCCAAGATCTCGCAGCCTGTCCTGGGGCGCCTGAGGGCTGCAGACCGCACAGGGCAAGGGACGCACCACCACTGCTCATACCAATGTGGACACAACAAAATAAAACTGGAGTGATCAGCAGGCCAGTCCTGGGCCAAGTAGAAAGAACCCGGACCCATGTGGGGAGGGTTTGTGCTTTGGGGATTCCAGGCTGGTTTTGTGCCTAATTGCCCTGCACAGACAAGCTCAGGCAACACTCGCTTCACTAAGACCGGGCGTCCGTTTTGGATTTCACTATTGTGATGACACTAGTAGTAGCAACCTTGCCAGGGACGAGGGGGCCCATACTGGAGGTGAGAGGCCCCCGCGCAGGGGTCACTGGGCTCCGGGCCACGGTTCTGGCGAAGTTCTGCAGAGCCTCGTATTTGGAACGGAGAGCATCGAGTTCCATTTTCATGCTGGCGTTCTCGGACGCCAGCTTCTCCACTTCTTGCTGCAGCTCCGCCTTCTGCTTCTCCAGTTCCTCCTTCTGGGTAACGCGCTTGACCCTGCAGCTGGCCGCGTAGCCCCGGTTCTTCAGCGTGCGCCGACGCTGCTTCAGCTGGATGATCTCCTCCTTCGACAGGCCCCGCAGATGCTGGTTCAGCTCCCGCACAGACATGGTCACCAGCTCCTCGTCTGTCAGGCTGGTCCCATTCTCGCCTGGCTCCCGCTTCACCTGGAAGAGAAGGCGGCAGGTGCTCGTGAGCCCGGGAGCAGAGGCCTGCACCTGCCACCGCAGCCCTTCCCTCCGCCGCCGCGTTACCTTCAAGGCCTTGTTTCCTTTGTTGGGGGTCGTCATAACACGACAGCCTCGTCAATCAGGTTCTGGAAGGGAAGGAAGGGCAGGTCAGCCCCCAGGACGCAGCAGAGCCTGCGGCAGGGTCCAGCCCCGTGCCGCTGCACATCCCAGCCCCCGCGACACTCGACCGACCCGCACGGGCGGCAGGACCGCTGCCCCCCACAGCCCCGCTCCCACAGAGGCCCTGTGGCAGTGCCGGGGTTTTTTTTGCTCGGGGCGGGGGAAATTAAAAAAACTAGGAGGAGTCAGAATATACGGAAGCCACATTTTTAAAAATAGCCTGTCAGGCAGCGGGCTGGGTCCAGAGCACGGCGGCTCCAGGCCAGTCATGCTGACTCAGCACGCCGGCACCCGGCACCTCTTGCTCCATCCCAGCCTTATCCTCGTCGCTCCCAGGCAGAGGAAGGCAGCCGGCCACTCCGACACCCCCAGGACAGGACCCCACCGCATTCCAGGTGCCTCCAAGGACGCAGCCGGTGCGCCTCAGGAACAACCCCGGGCAAGGAGCACAGGGGAAGCCTCTGCCTCCACAGCAGGCCTCAGCAGGCACCCCCAGGGCGGGGGAACACCGCGGCCGTGCTCACACCCCCCCAAACTCTTTCTGCTTCCCAGGAGAGCTCGCACATCCAGGGCCAAGTCAGAGTTCTGCACCCAACCCTTCCCAACCTGACACCGCAGCACGAGGACACGTTTGGGCACACTGGAATCCATCACAACTTTGGGCTGATGCTTCCGCAGCCTTCACCCGGCCTCACAAAGCTGACTCCAGCTGAAGCTCTTCTGCGAGAGAGTCCCTGTCAGTCCCTGGCAACGCCAGGGCCCAGAACCACCTTCTCCCCCCCTACTCTCAGAGCCAAGGCGTGCTCATAAGGGAACAGATTAAGAGTGGCCCAAACCAGAGAGCAGACCCTCCACTGCCACAGAAGATGTTGAGGAATCCCCAGGCCTGGTTTTACAGCGGCTCACACCCAAGCTCCTGTTCCTGTCCCTACGTCCCTCCTTCCCTCAGGCTAGTTCAGAGGGAATCGACCTGCCGGGATCGCTGGACAGACAGAGCTGCGCCTCAGACCACACACCTCCTTGAGGGAGGCGAGCGCTGCCACGCACACGCACTCCACAACACCTCCGTACCTTTTGTCTCTTTGGGGCCAGTCAACAACAATTTTGTTTGCTACTGCTCTGCTAAATGTAAGAGGCACTGATGTACAGTTATAGCCAAGAACCAGATGCATAAGTCAGCAAATATGAATTTATGCTCTTGTAGCAGCTGTGGCGCAGGCTCCCCGCAATGCATCTACCACCTCCTGGAGGTGAACAGGGTCAGCATTCCCCAGGACACCGGCAGAGACGTTCCCAAAGCCTCCAGCCTGCCAGGAGGGAGGTTATTTATACCCAGAGGACAATGCTCCTTCCAACGAGATGGCTGCTACAGCCTGACAGTGCTGGCGAAGAAAGGGTCACGCTGCTGTCCAAGGAAGGGAGCCGCAGCGGAGAAGGCTAACGCAGGATGGACAGCAGGCAAGCAACTGCTTCATAACGTCCATTCTTCACTCTTTCTCATACAGTTATTTCTTTCCTCTGCTCCTGCTCAGCAAACAACATGGCTGCTGGGAAAACAGGAGAAGGAGGGGAGTATCTGGGGAGACCAGTGTCACCCCCACAGCACCTCCCTGCACCGTCCCGCAGTGAGCGAAAGGAGCCAGGGCAGGCGCGATCAGCGGGACCACGGAAACGTCCTTGCCTCACGGCACTGAAGAATTTCCAGCTGCCTGACAAGTGCTCAAGCTTCCTTCATCACACCAAAGCCGAAATAAAACCAACAAGGCAACAAAGGTGCTGCCTCGGGCAGGCACTGGGAAGGCTCCTGGGGCAGGGGCGCTGACGCCGTCCAGCCTTCGCACCAGCACTTCTGGTGGAGCTGAGGTGGGGCCAGAGCGCTGCCAGCAGACGGAGGGGCTGCTCCCAGCCCCTCACAACAGCAATCTGCCTTTTCTTGAACTTCTAAGAGTCACGAGCACTTTTACCCAGAGGAACCCAACCTCCCCAGGCAGAAGTCTCCCACGACAGCTGTCGAAGCTGTAACAGGATGGTCCCCAAAAGCACCTGGTGATCCCACCTCTCCTCATCCCCCTTCCCAGGGGGATCAAAACAAGACGCAGCAACACACGAGTCAGTCAGTAGAACGGGAAAAACAACCTGGAGACTATTCGGCTATTTGCTAGGTCCTGTCTGAAGGATCAGAAACGGGGCTGTTTGGCATCTCACAGAGAGGACACCCGGAGAACTGGCACCAAGACAGAGACCAAACTCGGCCCAACTCTCCAGGCTGCTGATTGCTCAGCTTTTGATAGCTTCCTGAAGAGAGATCACACTGAAAAGTGCCAAACGCGATGACTGCAATGAAGAAAATGCAGCCTCAACACATTTCCCCAGAGCTCAAAAGGCCTGAACTCAGCACAAGCGCCGCCAATTCTCTCCTCAGCTCAAAGGCAGCACAAGGGAGCTGACAGCACCGCGCATGATTCAACGCGGGCCCCATTCTCCACATTCCTGATCGCAGACCGTGCCACGAGCCCCGTGTAAACACGGTGACGTCACCCGCTCCAGCGCTGGCCGCCCGACACGGCGCCGGGAGGGACGGGACGGGGGGGCTGAGCCCCGCAGCACCGGGCGGGCGGAGG